TTGACTCATGCATGTGTTGAACTCTAATAAAACACTATAGCAGTAAGTGATCTGCTCTCCAACTTTCGTTTTTTTTTAATATACTGTATATAGTTATGTTGATTCTAGTCAGTATCTCCTCTTGTCTGATACATTTGTGTGCAGTTTTGCCGGTGCATGATTAAAACAAAGTACATTACTGTGGAACAGAAGGAATCCTTGCCAACGCTTCTGCCTCACACATACATTACACTAGTCTAGGTTGGCCTGTAGTAACCCCTGGCCATTCATCTTGCTGTGGAACCACTGTATCCCCTCCAATCCTCACCCCTCGGCCCTTTTCTCTCTCAGCCCCATTCTGTCCGGGGGGGGGGGGGGGGGTGCGCGGTGCGGGGGGGGGCAGTCCCTAACTGACAGTCTAGGGGCTCTCCCATTGGTTCTTTAGGATCGCCTCATTCTAGAACATGGCTGGCTCCTCACATTCTGCTCCACTCTGCCTGCTTTATTTTCCCGGTCAAAAAGAGGAGTGTGCTATATTGTACAACTCATGCTTTACACAGGATTGCTGTCTTCATGTGTGGACACGTGTCCACAAGTTCTATTCTATTCCATAACCGTGGATTTCACTTTGGAAGGTAAATCTTAATATTGTTTGCATTGTATGAATCTATATCATGTTGCGATGGATGGATGATGTTCTTGTGGCAATGTGCATGTCTTTTGCAGAGTGTGTTATTTCATATTTGGTTGGCTATTCACTGAATTATCTCAATCTTGTAAAATAATCCTTATTTTAAGGCTACATTATGCACTGTCATTTTGGAAAACGTGTATGATTTGAATGACCCCGCCAAAACACTCAGTATAACTAGAGGATTCAAAACCTTTATGAATTCTTAACCTAAGAACAACATGTGATCATGCCATTTGAGATTGAGTGCTGCATTGAGTACTTCAGTATTGTCCAGTAATGTGATAGTGATATAATAATATAATAAGCCATTTAGCAGACGCTTTTATCCAAAGCGATTTACAGTCATGCGTGCATACATTATTTTGTGTATGGGTGGTCCCGGGGATCGAACCCACTACCATGGCGTTACAAGCGCCGTGCTCTACCAGCTGAGCTACAGAGGACTACTCTATATCAGGACATCTGAGAGAGGAATGCCTCTGGACTCTCACTGATTGAAATAGATACAGAGATTTCCTAATTAATCAATTAAATTAGTTGAGCAGTCTGAGCATAGCATAGGCCTACTTACACCAAGACATGAATGAAAAACAAGTGGGCCTACAGTCAGCCAGCCTCTATTAACCTCAATGGCCCCTCATCCGCTTTTCGATTTGCTGTTTGCATAGAACAATGGATATTTGTAGTAGTACCGAAGATACTGATAACCTTTCATCTGTGGTAGAACCCACTGAAAGCAGTGGCAGTGTAAAAAAAAAGAAATAGGATGAATTTCATAAAGTATGCTTCTCTGCTCTCTCTCCCTTCAGTTTCAATGGAAGTATGACAATCACAGTTCTAGGCTGTGAGCAGCACCTGCTGGCCAAACTAGGTTTGAGGCCAATGGCTATGTGCAAGTAGTGCTGGAAAGGACTGGGACTTGGACCAACTACCAACAATCAGCCCATTCACTCATAGCAAAGCAACAAAATCAACTGACTGGCGTGTGCGTGTGCGTGTGTGTTGACCAGAGCTGCTGTGCATTGTAGTTGCATTGCATGTGTATGTACAAGGTGTGCAATGCTCCTTCCATGCAACACAGAGCTGTGTCGTGATGACACGGTGTGGATGCTGTGCAATTCAGTCTTTACAATTGCAAGCAAGAATTAAATAAAGTTAAGGTCTGACATTCTGAAACTGTTGAATATCATGCTCTCTATCATGGAATCTATGGACATGACGCCGGTCTTCTCATCTATCCTTTCATGGAAAATGCATATTAATCCTTTTATTTTCACCCAAAGTACAACTGCTGTGAAGTTTGAACTCTGAAATATGGGACAATATGTGAATATGCTAGTTAGCGTGTTTGTGATATCCAGATGCTTTTTGAAGCAGACAGCTGTTTACCCCTAGATGTTGTCACAGATAACGTTCTTGAAGTTGGTTTACATAACTTTGACTCAGCAACAACAAGTGGATGTCTCAGATTGGTCCATCAAACGTTGAATTGGACACCATGTTCTGTTCTGTCTATGGTCTTACTAAGGTTGTGTCTCAAATGGCACCCTATTCCCTATTAGTACACTACTTTTTTACCAGAGCCCTATGGGTCCTGGTAAATAATAGTGCACTATATAGGGAATAGGGTGCCATTTGGGACGTACCCTAAAGCTGCAAGTCTTCCTGACTGGGACAAGCAGGCATGTAACTGGAGGAGAAATGAAATGAGGCAGGTTCAAATGGAAATTATGGCTGTTACGCTTTATTTTACAGTCCGATTTTTAGAAATCACAAGCTACATTAATTACATAGTAACAAACTACTCAAACAGGGGCCTGGGAGATCTACAGTAAATAGAATCTAGCTGTAAACACGTCTAAACTGACATTGATTTGACATCCAGTGTTGATGTTCTCATTCAAAACCCATTTCAAAACTGTGGCATATTCCACCATGCCGAATCTACCTCTGGCCCTTTTGACTTGTACATGGGGCTTCAAATTGCAAAGGCCATGGATGTGTACTGTATGGGTTAGCCCTTTCTGGCTCCTCAGGCTATTTCAACAATCTTCATTAGCTAGAAGCCTGATATTATTACCCAGCAATCTGCTTTCCATTGTAGGCCTCTGGTACATAAGCATGTCCCATATAACAAACTGTACATCCCTTTGCCCCCTCCAATCCCCTCCTACCACAGCTCAAGGAAATCATGGTTGTTAGTCAAGTACGGTGAAATTACACAGCCTCCCTCGTATATAAACATATACTGTGTTGTTGTTGTTGTTTTTAAAACACCAACAACAACACACAAATATTTATAATTAAATTCATAATCATAGTCGGGTTGAAAATTACTCCCAAGAATGAAAATCCAATTATAAAACAAATGCCGTAGATTAAATTACCTATTTGTGTTTATGATTGAGATGTTATTAACGTTGCAGATCATTGCTTTCCCAATTTCCTCCTCCCCATTCCACTCACTCTGCCCTGAGCTACACATTTCAACATTACCTACCTACACTCTTAGAAAAAAGGGTTCCAAAAGGGTTTTGAGGCTGTCCCCATAGGAGAACCCTTCTACCTGGAACCAAAAGGGTTCTACCTAGAACCAAAAGGAGTTCTTCAAAGGGTTATCCTATGGGGACAGCCCTTTTTGATTCTCGATAGCACTTTTTTTTTCTAAGAGTGTACGCAACAGCCCACAACTAGAAGTGAGCTCATACAGAAAATTATATTTCCCAGACCAAATGTCCCTCTCATAGAGGCTTTTAGCTCAATAAGACATAAATAACTGTAAAATGAAAATATTGATAGCCTCAAAATGCATAAAACATATTTTGTGTAAACTATTTCCCAATAAAAATACATCAAACAACATGACACAAATACTTGGAATTTGGAATGGTCATTTAATAGAGGCCATTCTCGGACACTGAGCCAGCAGCTACAACAATAATAGTACTTTTCTTCTGCATTTGAATTTTCTCTTTGGTGTCTCAATACAAACCGATGCAGACCCAGACCTAGCCTTGCAGCACTTTATGCTAAGTTAATTTACCCAAATACATCCACAGCGCCACCTTACATCAACAGTTTAGTTAATGGAAACCTACTGATCCATAACAGTGGTGGTGCTAGACGTTGGCTGGAGGGCCAAGCAGGTATGAATGTTAATATCATTGATCGATCACAGGATTTGAAAGGAAGCATACGCCAGTGTGTTTAATTATAATTGCGTCAGGCCGGGCGGGCGGGAGTTGCGGCAGTGTTGTTATGCAGCACGGCCCCCTTCTTGTATTTGACTAGGGTCACATCTAGGTCTCACCTTGCAAGTGTAACGCTATATTAAATGCCACTCATGTTAAGTGTGTTGTTGTGTTCTGTTGAAACCCTTCCTGTACTGAATGATGCAGTCACGGCATAATATAAAGGTTAAATTGAAAATTGTCCCTTCAAACAAGCAAGAGAACCCCTGCTATGATTGATATCCCTTCTAACAGGGAAATAAATGTTAGCAGAGTAGACCCCATGTTTTAATCTCCTTCATACAGTATTTGTATATAATGTATTCTAATGTGTCTGGATTAAATGTGGAGTATGTCAGTCTCAAGGGAATTGAAAAGGTCATAGGGAGAGATTAGGAGGTTTGGAGAGGGCCTGGGTTGATTAACCCCATGATAATTGCCTTCAATCACAACAACAAGGATTGAAGGGACTGAGCACCAGCTGTGACATGTACACTTCAACCTGTTCATTGCTTAGACACTTTCACCAACCAAAACCATTGTTGAGATTGTTACTTTTTAATATTGATACTGGTTAATACACACACACACACAAAAAATGTATGCACGCATGACTGTAAGTCGCTTTGGATAAAAGCGTCTGCTAAATGGCATATTATATTATATTATTATTATGATGATGATATCACAGTTTTATCAGCTTTCTCATACAGTCAGCATACTCAGTGTATTTCTTTCTGTCCTTAAAATAGTTAAGATATAATATAGGTGAATAATTATTTTCACAGACTCTCATAACAGAACATCCTACTTTATTAAGAAAGCTTTATGTAAACCTGTATGCCTTGGGACAAGACTATGAACACTGTACAAGCTTATTTTGAGGGTAGAGTCATGTACATTTAGTATAATCAGCTAGGATCCACTGCACAATACTGGACCTCTCTATATTATTTATTTACAGGACAAGTCAATAAAATCTCCCCTTGCACAAGGAGGCAGTCTTTGGATCTTTTAATTTCCTAATTCAGATATGGAGGAAAAACCATCCAGTCTTTCAAATGAAGTCTCTCTCTTTGTCGGCAAGGCTATGACACTCACAGGGTCCAGAAGTGCAGGTTCAGGTGTTGGGGCTCCAGAGCATATATGGGGGCCCTTGTTGTACCACTACGTGGGGGTCTGAAGCCCGGCAGAGGGGGGTTGGGGGTGGAGAGGATGTAGTCAATACTGAATTTAATCTCCGGTTCTGGTTTCTCCTGCTGGTTTGGGTTGAGGGGGGTGTGGTGACCTGGTCTGTGGGCAGGGCTGATGGGGCAGAGGGAGTCCGGTTTGGGGTTAGGGTTAGGATCGGACTGCCTGGCGGAGCCGCCGTGTTGGTTGTTGATGTTGTTGTTGTTATTGTCTCCTGGGAGGAAAGGCTCCCCAGGCTCTCTGAAACCCATCTTCATGTTGCGTCGGCGCCGGCGACGCCGAAAGTTGCCGTTCTCGAAGAGGTCGAGCATGGACTCACAGCCCGTGGCGAACGTCCAGTAGTTGCCTTTCCCCTTCTCGTTTCCCTCCGTACGGGGAACCTACAAAAAAATTACAAATAAAATAACCCCACTTATAAGAAAGTAGAAATAAACCCATAATAGTCTATTTGTGATCACGCTCAAATGTGAAAGCAACATAACAGTACTGTATTGAAACACTCTGTTACCCTTTTTGCTTCTAGGCTACTGTGTGCAAAATACGTAACGTTATTTGCTTATAATTCATACAGTAAATGTGTAAATGTGCATGTAAACTGTATGACTGTTCACTGTCTCATTTGTAACCTTATTATTGTAATATATTTTAAAAGTTTCATACAATATTTAATCAACGAGGATAAAATATTATAGTCTTATGTATTTTCTTCTGACTGATATCAAGTGAAACTTATATCGAAGAATGTAATAAAATGTGTAGCTTACTCTGTTTGATAATGATTATTGATCAAATGATCAGCTATCATCACACAACATATGATAACAGGTCATTTACCTTAATGAAGCAGCTGTTGAGAGAGAGGTTGTGTCGTATGGAGTTTTGCCATGCTCTCTGGTTGGACCTGTAGTGAATAAAGGAAACAGTACACTACAATACCTTCACTAATTTGTGAAAGGTATCCAGACACTTTTGGAGGGAAATGGCTGTTGAATAGACATGTGAAGTTAAATAGACATGTGAAGGTCCTTACCTGTAGTATGGAAAGCGTTTCATGATGAACTCATAGATCCCTGACAAGGTGACCCGGTGCTCTGGACTCTGCTGGATGGCCATGGCTATCAATGCTATGTAACTGAAGAGAAAGGGCAGACAGAGTTACAAAAAGTACAAATATTTATTTTAATTAATATTTATTGGTGTTCACATTTATATTCCCAAGAACAGGGTTGGGGATGTAATCATGTAATCTGATGACAACAAACTGTAATCATTTACATTACTAGCAAAAATATTGTAATCAGATTACAGATACTTTTGAAAAACTAGATGATTACTTCTTGGATTACTTTTAAATTCAGAAAGGATGTTTGCAAACAAAAATACATTATGAAACCTTTCTGTTTTCGCAATGACATTCAATTCAGCATTGAAAGAAGGCATATGTTTAAGTTTGTTCCACCTGAGCGAGTCTGACCACAAGTCAGACCACTATGATGACACACCAAATGTGTTTGATGGATCATTTTTGTCTTCTTCTAATGATTCTTAAAGGGAAAGTAATCCAAAATAACTGAAAGTAATCAGATTACATTACTGAGTTTTGGTAATCCAAAAGTTACCTTACTGATTACAATTTTGGACAGATTACATTAAAAAAGTAACCTAACCCTGCCCGATAATATATTGATAAGACTGAAGTTATATTCAGGGAAAGTGGTCTAATATTCTTAGTTATGATACTGATTTAATTTGGATATTGTTGAGATTCCACAATCATCTGATTAAAATAATACAACAACATTTGGTTTTCAGGTTTTAGATTTTAAATGGGTTGCATTGCATTCATTTGTGATTTATATTATGGTCTATAAAATACTAAAATAATTTGCATTTGTTTTGTATTTTTTCAGCTGAACTATAATGTAATATCTTAAAGACATAATTTATCATATCTTAGATCATGAATAATGCTAATAACAATACTCTTCATAATTCCATTATTAGTTCATTATATTAACCATAAGCATTCTACCTGTAAGCAGGTCGACACATCTTCTTGTCTTCATCCGTGCTGCAGGAGGGGTATCCATCTCCATCATAGTTGAAGCAGTTATATGGATACTGAGAGCTATCAAACATGTCTACACTTCCACCCTGGCTAATATAGGACTGCTTCATCTAATTAACAAATCAATTTCAGTTTTTAGCACCCTCTAAATTTAGACCAATAATACCAAGCACTTGTTTCCTTTACAGAGAATGTCTTCTACTCTACTCTAACATACCCTACTCATAGTGGTGGCTCTACTGAATGAAGTATACCTTCCCCCTTGGTGATGAATAGGTCCCTTGGAACCCCCACTCTCCTCCTCATCGACTGCCTCACTGTTGGGTTGGTCCCCAGGTAGGCTAGGCTAGCGCCGATAAGACATGCCATGCACCAAATGACTTGGCCAGCCCAACGCATGCAGCTTGTCCACTTGAACGTCTGAACCCGGGGCGTGATCAACTGGTAGCTAGATTAATCTCTGTCTCGCTTTGAATCTGGGTGGTCTATAGCCTATTTAGAGTGTTGACTTTATGTTTTGTTTTGTTTCTTTTTATAGTCTAATCTACCTAACAGGACTTAAACAACTAATCCAATACTAACAAACAACCTCCTTACATCTCCATCTCTCTCTTCCAATTGTTTTTTCTTTAGCCTCTCTTTAAATAGTGTGTGTTGTGTTGGGGTATGTTGTGTCTAGTCTGACTTTTTTTGTCGCAACCAGTTTCCTTTTTTTTTGGGGGGGGGGTTCCTTGTGTCACAGACGTTTTAGTTAACAAGGAGAGTTTTGTAGATGCAATCTATAATGCTGTATAATGGCCATAAATTGTGTTTCCGTGACTAAAAGAGGGGATGTGTGTTCTGAAGGGCTCCTGACGGGGCATGTGGGTCTCTCCCGGCAGCCGACGGAGACCGGAGAAAACAGCCCGCGGGCGAGAGGCCGCCCTGTGTGGCCTGCTGTGATCCAGTAGATTAATTGTTGTAGAGACCCTTTGTGTTCTTCTATCGATGCGACCACAACAGTTTAAAAATGCAATTTTGTGTTTACGCCTTCTATACTAATGGGGCAAAGAAAGGGTCAACACTCTGGTCAATTTTAAACATTTTAGATGTCCATGTCCAAATAAAAGAAAATACAACTATTCTTAGATCATGGAATTGGGCACATTTTGGAAAAACATTTGGGAGCTATTTTGTTTTATTTGGGAAATGCACAGCTATAGCCTAATTGCTGGCTGCCTAGGTAGGCCTATACCAGCAAATGTGGTGTGTTTAATCAGGTGTCAGGCCGTTTGCAAGTGTCCACATCTCTATCAACTATATTCACTTTACATTTGGAGCCATGGTGTATCCTCTCTGTATGTAAGTGACCTTTGTGACCTTTGGCTGGTCTCCCTCAACATTATTTAGCAAATAAAGTGATTAGCCAGTTACTCTAATTGCCAAAACCCATTATCTTTTCTAAACATGCTAGTACGCTAATTCCCTTTCATTAGTGATGCAGTGAATTCAATTGCACCACCGTTTTCAGGAGCAAATCCAGGGCATGGGTTGACTACCCAGATGGTCAAACATGGAGAGTCACTCTATCATAGAATTAGAACCAGATTCCAGAACTATGCCCAGTCTATTGGCTTTAGCCATTCTATTCTATGGTCCCTCCATTGGAGCAGTGCAGAGGAAAATGAGTGGGATCAGATAAGGTGTCCTGTTGGTTGGATCCCTGGCTCATTCCCATGACGATGTTTCCTCTGCCGCCTGTCTGCGGCCAGGCTGATTACCCTAGTTAGGCCTGTGGTCCCTGTCCCTTAGATGTTTGTCTCAGACTGCATCCCAATAGCACCCTATTCCCTTTATAGTGCACTACTTTTAACCTGGGCCAATAGGGTTCTGGTCAAAATAAGTGCACTATAAAGGGAATAGGGTGCCATTTGGGGCGTAAGCTCAGACTGGGCTTCCTCCATTCATGAGCAGTCCTTTGGATGCATTTATAAACCATATCGGAGGCTTTTCCGGGGGCTGTGAGGGGCTAGGGAAAGGTTATCAAAACAAAAATACGAAACTGTAAACAAGTTTATGTTGGGGCGCTGAGGGCCATTTGCATTAGTACTCTAATAGACCTATAGACATCATTACTGTACATATATGTATTCATTTCACTTGATTGCTTCTATTAGGCCTATTGATCAGGCACTGTAGTCTGAACATACAAACAAATATAGCTGAGATATTTGTTTTCTGTGAGAGCCAATGACTTCTGTGTCCGTGCTGCCTACAAGGATCAGAATCAAGTCCGAGTTTATTGCCCCATCTCGTCATTATTTTTCAATGTATCTATTTTTCTATGTTTGAGATATAACTAATAAAGTTAAATGACACGTTTAAATGCACATTTTGTTTTATTGCACCTTTACGATGTTGCAAACAAAACTCCACAGAAACAATGAACTGATGAAAAATAAGCATTTTAGCTGCAGTCAGCCTCTAATGTCGTCCATACCTCCGTCTATACATAAAGTATCAACACAGACACATGTATACAGTATATAGCTTCTGATCAGGAAATAATATTTTCCTTAAATACTCTTTCAGTCATTCAAGTATTTCTATCATTGCACAGGCACTAGGTTTATCTACTGTATATATATTAACTTTCAGTAACAGTAACTGAAATGTTTTCTCCAGCAAAGCAGATCTGCCGTTGGAAAGTTAAGAAATGTACATCCTGCATATCTGTAGACAACATTGACATCTGGACATCATACATACATCACACCCTAAAGGAATATTCATCCTACAAAAATCTTGGTGTCACATTTGGCTTCTTAGTACCAAAATTGAGGACTGACTAAACTTTAATCTTAAATTCCTCCTCAAATTAATAAAATAATCTATGGGCTGAAGAGAAATAAGAGAAAAGTACAATGGAGGATATGCTGTAGTGTGAATCACTTTGAATCCGATTAATTGTTGTAATTTAAACAGGAAAGGGCCTTCCCCAAACTGTTGCCACTAAATTGGAAGCACAGAATCGTCTAGAATGTCATTGTATGCTGTAGCGTTAAGATTTCCCTTCACTGGAACTAAGGGGCCTCGCCCGAACCATGAAAAACAGCACTTACAGTTGACCGGGGCAGCTCTAGCAGGGCAGAAATTTGACTAACTGACTTGTTGGCAAGGCGGCATCCTTTGACCTTGCTACCTTGAAAGTCACTGAGCTCTTCAGCAAGGCCATTCTACTGCCCATGTTTGTCTATGGAGATTGCATGGCTGTGTGCTCGATTTTACACACCTGTCAGCAACAGGTGTGGCTGAAATAGATGAATCCACTAATTTGAAGGGGAGTCCACATACTTTTGGATATATAGTGTATCTGCGGAGCGGGAGGGTTTAGGGTTATCCTATTGTGTGGATGAAGGGCGGGTGGATGGCGAGCGCGTTGAATAATGAGGAAACAACACATACAAAAATATATACATGTATAATTACTGTGTAATTTATATCTAAAGGCTACATTGAGGTTTTCCTTTCATTATTTTTTAGGCTATCTGGCATTAGTGCGTATTGCGTAAGCTTTAGAGCCTAACTGTATACGCACCAAATAGCCTACAAGCCAATAGCCAAATGCTTTTGGGAACAGGCAGAAAAAGTTAAAGTCAATCCACTGAGGCAAAAAGGACAATGTCGGAGTTTAATTCAATAAAAGAAAAGCTGCGAAATGGAGAGTTGTTGAAGTGGTAAAAGACGATGACTGCTGTGCCGGCTATGTTATGTGTGATGATTGTGAGGCGTGCTATACAAATTCAACAGTCACAAGACCGGGACTTCAAATAGGTTTATGGCAAGTCAAGGGAACTGTAGCCTACTGTTCAGATGGGTTATTATATGTAAACTGAGATCTGGACACTGACTGCAGGTCTATAACCTCTCACATAACCTTAATATTAACTCCTGCAGAATTAAGCATTTCTTGCAGTAAGATTATACACCAAATGTAGCCTACATTTTGACTCGGAAACAGGAGTGGAGAAATATGATTGATTACTTAGAGCATCTTGAGAGAATCGGAATGTGCAGTTAGGGACCTTCTGTAGAGGTGCTGTCTTTATCAGCATCACAACAGCTGATAGGTGTAGTATTTCAACCACAGGAGCTTGGTGGCACCTTATTTGCCATTCCATTCGCTTCGTTCCGGGTATTATTATGCACCTTTCTCCCCTCAGCAGCCTCGTGTGAAACCACATCAAATATGCATCCAAGCCGACCTGAAATCTTATCAGAAACATTTTGGGTCATTTTCACAGCTTTCTGTTTCCTTACAACCGGTCAAACTGTTATCATTTGGACATTTTACACAGAACATCTTTCCTGTTTATTTTTTGTTATTGCATTTTCACCCCAGTCCCTAAACATCTTTGCTTCGCGAAAGAAATAGAACTACAGAGAAAAGTTAACCGATGTCAACTATATAGATAGAAGCATTCATTCGATCAATTGATGACATTATTCTGGTGAGCAAGGGTTTATTTTAGTCTTCTAGGGCAACATATAATGACAAAAGAGAAGCTGCATGTATATGGCCTAATTATAGACATGTTGACTAACAAATAGCCTACCGAAATGTCATAAATTATAAGCAGAAACATATCTGCTAAAAAAAATCCTGCCCCCCTGTCAAAAAATCGTTCCGCCATCTCTGACTGTAGCCTACAGCATAGTTGGGCGGTTGCGGATGGGTTATTAGCAATTGTGTGTGGGTGCAGCTGACCTGCGGACCACTATTGTACATGCACTAGAGCTGCCCTCTACTTGATCAACTAGGAACTGCACATATGTAGAGTCTCTCTCGCTCCCTCTCTTGGTCTCCTGACCACTCAGGGCTGTTTTCAATATGTATAGCGGAAATTCAGCGTTACAGCGTGATTGAAATGTAAAGGCATGTTCCCGCATTAGCGGAAACTGCATTCATGGTAAACGCTGCATATGTCGGCTCAATAGGACATTAACTTTACATTTCTAGAGCGCTTCAGCTATTCATATTGACTAGAGCCCCCAGTCCTATTGATAGAAAAATGATGTGGGTATCATTTATTTCAAACAATTAATATGAAATACAACAAATACTCTCGGGACAGGAAGCATTTGAAAGATGAAAAGCAGATGAAGACCCTTCAATCAAATATCTCTTAATGTTTTGTTTTTTTTAAACACATAGACAACAACATAAAAGAGCAACAGAAGTTATAAAACATTTTGCAATAAATTGTTCATTAAGACACAGAGTCGATCTCCAATAGGCATATTGTTTGCATGCCTGTGACAGGTCCCAACAATGTGTAGAAACACACAATATTCAGTTGACAGCAGAAGGAATAATACCAGTCTTGGAATTCACTGAATTCAAAAATGTCTCCTGAACAAGACAAGCGGCTCTCGCAAGACTTTCATGATCTGTGGTGGGAGATGATCGATCGGTTGGAAGGTGTACACTGTTATTTAAGGAACCTATGGGGATGGTGGTCAAAAACGGTTCAGTCCAGTTCAATCTGGTCTAGTCCAATCCAGTTCAATCTAGTCCAGTCTGATCGACTCTAGTTCTGTACGGTTCGATCAGGTCCAATCCAGTCTGGTCCATTCCAGAACGGTCCATGCCTCCCAGCTACCTCCCCCTGGGTGATGTGTGTGTCTGCCCCCCCTCCCTCTCCCCCGCCAGGTCATCCTCCACCACATTACTATAGCCCTCCTTCTCGATGCAGTCTGCCAGGACGTTGAGTGTGTGGCGTAGGCGTCTGTCCATAGCCTCCAGGTGGGGCTGGATGAGGATGGGGGTCAGTTTGTCCCTCAGCAGAGACTCAGACATCAGACCACTCAGCTGGTACTCCTCCTTGGCCAGCAGCTGCAAACGCAGGTGGGTCGACTTCTTCACTCTGCAGAGACAGGAGGGGTCAGGAGGGAATGGAATAAGTTCATTAATGCTGTATGATTGCAACTTCATATAAAGTAATCAACTCCCACAGAGAATGATAGAGATATCATCTTTATATACACTGAGTGAACTAAACATGAAGGACACCTGCTCTTTCCATGACATTATGCTGACCAGGTGAATTCAGGCGAAAGCTATGATCCCTTATTGATGCCACCTGTTAAATCCATTTCAATCAGTGTAGATGAAGGGGAGTAGACAGGTTAAAGAAGGATTTTTAAGACTTGAGACAATTGAAACATGGATTGTGTATGTGGGCCATTCAGAGGGTGAATGGGAAAGACAACAGATTTAAGTGCCTTTGAACAGGGTATGGTAGTAGGTGCCAGGCGCACCGGTTTGTGTCAAGAACAAGGGTTATAACTCAATATTAGGAAGGTGTTCTTAATGTTTTGTACACTCAGTGTATGTCCCATTATGGTGTCTGTGAGTGCACAGGCATTTTGAAGTAGTCCATTTTCTTCTTCTACTACTTCTATGAGTTGGTAAACAAACTGAAAGGCTGCATACTGCCACGTAAAGTGTGTTGTTTGAACAGGTATAAAGCCAAGGTTGGCGATTGGCGACTGCCGCCTACAGTTATGGAATGTTTGCTCACAAGTATAATTAATTGGCTGAGCCCTCCTGATGACCTGGATGGAATCATGTGATCCTTCCTTAACCCATAGGAAGTCCCACCCAGTTGACTACTTTAAAATGGTGGAAGCCCTCAATGGCAATGTCCATGCCAAAACGGGTTTTGTCCATCTAGAATCCTATATGTCAACTCCTGATAAGTGAAATGTCAGCTTAAGTGCGTTGCGGTTCACCAGTCACAATTCAAGTAAATGCTCTTGATGTATACATGCGAATGATACACCAAAAATGTCAGTTGATGGAAAAGATTCAAAAAGTTACTAACCTGCAACATTGGCTTAAAGGCACCAAAATAGACACCTCATCATGGGAATGCTTTCCAAACCCTCTCCCGTTGTCCAGATGGATTATGAAGCTCTCGTTGCCAAACTTCTCAAACGTCTCATAGTGATGACGATCCATGTTGCCTAAGGAGAGAGCCATTTTATAATGGAGCCATCCCACTGGGCAAAAACTGGTTGAATCAACGTTGTTTCCATGTAATTTCAACCCCAAAATTAAATATGATGATGTTAAATCAACGTGGAAAACTGATCGGATTTGAAAAAAGTCATCAACGTATTGGAATTTCTTCTTTCACCCAACTTTTAACCTAAATCCAATGACATTATGATATTTTTTGTTGATTTCACGTTGAATTCACGTCAGTTGACAACTCAACCTAATGTAAATCAAAACTAGGTCGCTGGTTCTAATCCCCGAGCCGACTAGGTGAAAAATCTGTCGATGTGCCCTTGAGCAAGGCACTTAACCCTAATTGCTCCTGTAAATCGCTCTGGATAAGAGCGTCTGCTAAATGACTAAAATGTAAAATGTAACTAGACGTTGAGCTGACGTCTGTGCCCAGTGGGATGTCGCTGTGCTCTGAGTGTGTGTGTTTTAGGAGGTGTCATCTCACCCATGAGGAAGTCAAAGATGGTCATGTCCATGATGTCCAGCAGACGGGTGCCGCTGTCATAGGGCGGAGTCTGTTTCACCTCTTCACAGTAGTCAGGGTCTACCTCCCACCTACAGAAACACAGAGAGGTCCTCATTAGCTACTTGTTGGGTTCTCACTTCCCCTGCACACGTCTTTCTACTTATATTTTATTGGAACTACAGTAACTTGTCTTTTCACCTATACTTCTCAGTGCTTTTCAAACTCTTAAAGTATATGCATTTATTTTACATGAATGTAATTTGTATTTTATTATGTTATGCTTTCTACATATGCATTGGTTTCTTACTCTGCTTTCTTGCGTTTGTGGTAGGATCGTCTCCAGGGGTTTCTCCAGGTCTTACGTTTGGCCAGGGCCAGGTCTGGGAGGAAGGCAGCCAGGGAACCCTCAATCTGGTCTGGTTTACCGCACAGAGCATGCTCCGTAGAGCAGTAGTATGAACACTCCCCGTAGAAACAGATGTTGTTGGCTGGGAAATGAGAGTTTATATTCATGGATTTGTTGATGACATTGATTTGTTAATTTGGTGGTCAATAGCACCATCTACTGTTCATAAACTGAAATGCAGTTGACATGATCTTAATGCACAGACGGCTGTGTTTGAATCTCAGTCTACTGTTCTATAGGACACTGACACAGAGAACAGAGGAGTGTAGCGTGTCTGGTTTAGTACCTGGTGATATGAAGAAGGTTTTCCACAGCTTCTTGTCTCTGGTCACGTCTTTGATCTCTTTAGTCATATTCAGCAGTCTGCCAGCTACAGGAGGGACACGACGGAAGTCAAGGATTCTGCCAGAGGACAAAGAGAGGAAGCTATTTAGATTTGGCTTTTTAGATCCTGAAATTATCAATTCCTCTCTCACTAATTCAACCAAAGAGGAATTCTGCCTCTGGAACTGCCGTTCTGCCGCCAACAAGGCTGACTTCATCCCAGCCTATGCCACCCTCCAGTCCCTCGACTTCCTGGCACTGACGGAAACATGGATTACCACTGAAAACACTGCTACTCCTACTGCTCTCTCCTCGTCTGACCATGTGTTCTCGCATACCCCGAGAGCATCTGGTCAGAGGGGTGGTGGCACAGGAATCCTCATCTCTCCCAAGTGGTCATTCTCAATTTTTCCCCTAACCCATCTGTCTATCTCCTCATTTGAATTCCACGCTGTCACAGTCACTAGCCCATTTAAGCTTAATATCCTTGTCATCTATCGCCCTCCAGGTTCCCTTGGAGAGTTCATCAATGAGCTTGACGCCTTGATAAGTTCCTTTCCTGAGGATGGCTCACCCTTCACAGTCTTGGGGGATTTCAACCTCCCCACGTCTACATTTGACTCATTTCTCTCTGCCTCCTTCTTTCCACTCCTCTCCTCTTTTGACCTCACCCTCTCACCATCCCCCCCCCACTCACAAGGCAGGCAATACGCTTGACTTCATCTTTACTAGATGTTGCTCTTCTACTAATCTCACTGCAACTCCCCTCCATGTCTCCGACCACTACTTTGTATCCTTTTCTCTCTCGCTCTCCTCCAACACTACTCACTCTGCCCCTACACAGATGGTAACGCGCCGCCGCAACCTTCGCTCTCTCTCTCCCACTACTCTCTCCTCTTCCATCCTATCATCTCTTCCCTCTGCTCAATCCTTCTCCCTCCAATCTCCTGATTCTGCCTCCTCAACCCTCCTCTCCTCCCTTTCTGCATCCTTTGACTCCCTGTGTCCCCTATCCTCCCGGCCGGCTCGGTCCTCCCCTCCAGCTCTGTGGCTTGATGACTCATTGCGAGCTCACAGAACAGAGCTCCGGGCAGCTGAGCGGAAATGGAAGAAAACTAAACTCCCTGCCGACCTGGCATCTTTTCACTCCCTCCTCTCTACATTTTCTTCATCTGTTTCTGCTGCTAAGGCCACTTTCTACCACTCTAAATTCCAAGCATCTGCCTCTAACCCTAGGAAGCTCTTTGCCACATTCTCCTCACTGCTGAATCCTCCCCCCCCCCCCCCTCCTCCCTCTCTGTGGATGACTTTGTCAACCACTTTGAAAAGAAGGTTGACGACATCCGATCCTCGTTTGTTAAGTCTAATGACACTGCTGGTCCTGCTCACACTGCCCTACCCTATGCTTTGACTTCTTTCTCCCCTCTCTCTCCAGATAAAATCTTGCGACTAGTGACTGCAGGCCGCCCAACAACCTGCCCGCTTGACCCCATCCCCTCCTCTCTTCTCCAGACCATCTCCGGTGACCTTCTCCCCTACCTCACCTCGCTGATCAACTCATCCTTGACCGCTGGCCATGTCCCTTCCGTCTTCAAGAGAGCGAGAGTTGCACCCCTTCTCAAAAAACCAACACTCGATCCCACTGATGTCAACAACTACAGACCAGTATCCCTTCTTTCTTTTCTTTCCAAAACTATTGAGCGTGCCGTCTTTAGCCAACTCTCTTGCTATCTCTCTCAGAATGACCTTCTTGATCCAAACCAGTCAGGTTTCAGGACTGGTCATTCAACTGAGACTGCTCTTCTCTGTGTCACGGAGGCTCTCCGCACTGCTAAAGCTAACTCTCTCTCCTCTGCTCTTGTCCTTCTAGACCTGTCTGCTGCCTTTGATACAGTGAACCATCAGATCCTCCTCTCCACCCTCTCCGAGCTGGGCATCTCCGGTGCGGCTCACTCCTGGATTGCGTCCTACCTGACCGGTCGCTCCTACCAAGTGGCGTGGCGAGAAGCTGTCTCCGCACCACGTGCTCTCACCACTGGTGTCCCCCAGGGCTCAGTTCTAGGCCCTCTCCTTTTCTCCCTATACACCAAGTCACTTGGCTCTGTCATATCCTCACATGGCCTCTCCTATCATTGCTACGCTGACGATACACAACTAATCTTCTCCTTTCCCCCTTCTGATAACCAGGTGGCGAATCGCATCTCTGCATGTCTGGCCGACATATCAGTATGGATGACGGATCACCACCTCAAGCTGAACCCTGGCAAGACGGAGCTGCTCTTCCTCCCGGGGAAGGACTGCCCGTTCCATGATCTCGCCATCACGGTTGACAACTCCGTTGTGTCCTCCTCCCAGAGTGCGAAGAGCCTTGGCGTGACCCTGGACAACACCCTGTCGTTCTCCGCTAACATCAAGGCGGTGACCCGATCCTGCAGGTTCATGCTCTACAACATTCGGAGAGTACGACCCTGCCTTACACAGGAAGCGGCACAGGTCCTAATCCAGGCACTTGTCATCTCCCGTCTGGATTACTGCAACTCGCTGTTGGCTGGGCTCCCTGCCTGTGCCATTAAACCCCTACAACTCATCCAGAATGCCGCAGCCCGTCTGGTGTTCAACCTTCCCAAGTTCTCTCACGTCACCCCCCCTCCTCCGCACACTCCACTGGCTTCCAGTTGAAGCTCGCATCCGTTACAAGACCATGGTGCTTGCCTATGGAGCAGTGAGGGGAACGGCACCTCCGTACCTTCAGGCTCTGATCAGTCCCTACACCCAGGCGAGGGCATTGCGTTCATCCACCTCTGGCCTGCTGGCTCCCCTTCCTCTGCGGAAGCATAGTTCCCGCTCAGCCCAGTCAAAGCTGTTCGCTGCTCTGGCACCCCAATGGTGGAACAAGCTCCCTCACGACGCCAGGACAGCGGAGTCACTCACCACCTTCCGGAGACATTTGAAACCCCACCTCTTTAAGGAACACCTGGGATAGGATAAAGTAATCCTTCTACCCCCCCCCCCCCCCCCCCCCAAAAAAAAAAAAAGTATAATTGTAAAGTGGTTATCCCACTGGCTATAGGGTGAATGCACCAATTTGTAGTCGCTCTGGATAAGAGCGTCTGCTAAATGACGTAAATGTGCCCTTGAGCAAGGCACTTAACCCTAATTGCTCCTGTAAGTCGCTCTGGATAAGAGCGTCTGCTAAATGACTAAAATGTAAATGTAAATGTAAATGATAATTAAGGTCCACATGCTATGGTACCATATTTCTACTATCCTTCTTCAAGTAAAGTGCACTGTCATTTATTTTTAACCACCAGAGAGAGCTGTGACATAAGAAAGCGGACTCCGCTTCGAATTGATACAGGAACAGCCTAGGGCGGCCATCACAGAAATATCTAAATGATCTCAGTTCAAAAGCTCAAATACAGTAACTGTAGTCTAAATCAGCAATGATAATGATCTAATCAACCATGCTTGGTCTTAATGTCTTCCTCTACACCATGTGTAGTTCTGGTCTATGTTATGTCTCTACTCTACTGCCATGTGGGAGGGAGAACATGTGAGAGCTGGACACGTGGCTCTGAGGATGATTCATCTGTGTGTGCGCCCAGGTATGTGTGTGTATGTGCACAGAATATTTCAGTGTGTCGGCGCAGATGTGTATGTGTGTATACGTGCCGTGAATGCATGAACTATGCATGTGTTCGGTGTATACAGTATTCTCAGCGCGTATAAGACAACTCCAGGGACATGTGGAGATGGAGTCTTTAATGTGAACCCTCCCTCTTTCTTTCTGAGTGCTGTCATGCCTGTCTCTATGCATGCTACACACTCATTCAGAGAGAGAGATAGAGAGAGAGAGAGAGAGAGAGGAAGAGAGACAGAAATAGATCAAGAGAGAGAGAAAGAGGAAGATAGAGAGAAGGAAGCAGAGAGAAAGAGACGAGAGAGAGATAAATAGACAGAATATAGGTAGAGAGAGACAACTCATTCTCTATCTCTCAGCGCCGATCGCTCTCTCGGAGTCTATCCGCGAGCGGGTCTCGTCGCCGCGTCTCGCTCGATCACTTCTCTCTCTCGCTCTCTGTCTCGCTCTCTCCGCGCTCTGTGCGTCGCTCGCTCGCCCTCGTCCGCTCGCTCTCGCTCCTCCCCTCTCGCTTCGGCCTCTCTCTCTCTCCCCTGCCCCCCGTGTCCTTTCTCTTTCGCTGCTGTATTGCATTTTTCTGTCTGATTACTTAATTTTGGGGGGTTGAGTTTTTTTTTTTTGTTTTTTTGTTTTTTTTTTCCTGTTCTTTTTGTTGGAGAGAAATACGAAAGCATCCAATATAGCATGTCCAAGATTACCCTAAATTGCCCCCGTCCATGTTGCAGAGCATGACAGAGAGCATGTGTAAGAAGAGAGACTGTGTGTGTGTGGTGTGTGTGTGTGCATGCGAGTGTGTGTGTGTGTGTGAGCCATGTTTCCTTCCCTCTGGCTGTCAGATGTTACTGTGCCGTACCGCACCACACAGCCCTATGGGGGATCTGCCATGCAAACAAGGAAGAAGTGCTGGATTCAATTTCCCCCCTCGTCACTCACTGCTCTTACCCCTCCTTCCTCCCCCTTCTTCCTCCTCCTCTTCCCTCCATCCCAGATCATTTCAAAGGAAGCCGAGACCAAATTTAAGACAGCATTTCCCCCTTTTAATCCAATCAGATAATTAATGGTGCGTAGAACCCGGCTTAAAAGCCCAAATGGAAAGTGTGTTACTGTTTGTGTGTGTGTGTGTGTGTGTGTGTGTGTGTGGCTGCGCCCTCCTGGGAGAGGAAACAAAGCAGCCTCAGCCTCAATAGTCAGCCCGTACATGACGACAATGCTGAAGCTTTCATTTAGACTAGAAACCAAATGTGAAAAACTAAACGGCTGCTTTTGGCTAACCCTAGTCCCTGCCTGCCTTATATTTAGAAAGGAAGCAGGGCTTTTCATGCCTTTGGTTTCCTCTCCCCCTTACCCACAATGCATGCCTGAGTGTGTGTGTGTGTGTGTATTTGTGTGTGTATGTGCGTGTGTGTGTTCCAACTGGGTCTAGTGGCGTACCAGATGTGTGGCAGACTGTCTGCTATTGCTATTGCAGCTGCTGATTGGTGGTATTGTGCCTCCAGGCAGACCCAGCTTTATCCAGCTATATACTCTATGTATTCTGTATGTGTGTGTGTGCGCACGTGTGTGTGTGTGTGTGTGTGTGTGTGTGTGGTGTGTGTGTGGGCGAGTGTGCATCTCTAGTGCCACTTGAATGGACCTGGTGGTGTCAGGGACAACATTAAATTATACAGATGTGAAAGCCTAAGAGATAACAAAGTACATTTTCATCACCATCTTCACACCACAGCTGTGTAGACTACAACTGTTGAGTCTGAACATACAAGAGCCAGACAAAGCAAAGCCTTGCTGCGTGAAAAGGCCTGCGGCAGCTGACTACAAAGGATAAGTATGAATGAACTGAAAGGAAACCTCCACGACACTACAGTATGTGGCTATGGAGACCAGAGCTTAACCATCATGGCAGTATTATAATAATACGGAGCTAAACCATCATGGCAGTATTATAATAATACGGAGCTAAACCATCATGGCAGTATTATTATAATACGGAGCTAAATCATTACATTTACATTTTAGTCATTTAGAAGACGCTCTTATCCAGAGCGATTTACAGTTAGTGAGTGCATAAATTTTTTATCATCATGGCAGTATTATTATAATACAGAGTGTAACCATGGCAGTACTATTATAATACAGATCGTAACCATGGCAGCATTATTATAATACGGAGTGTAACCATGGCAGTATTATTATAATACCTGTTTGTTTGTCTCTCTTACATCCAGGAGATCCAGGAGGTTTTCTTTCTATGATCATGAAAGCGTTCTCAACAGGCAAGTCATAAAGCCTTGTAAAGCCAGTGGAGTTCCAGAGCAGACAGACAAACAGACAGGCAGACAGAGGTGGGTGGTTGGGTTAGCTAGGCCGGCAGCAGTCATTGTTAAATCAGATTTATGCCTTTATTTTGATTTGTTTTATTTAACCCTTATTTTACCAGGTAAGTTGACTGAGAACACATTCTCATTTACAGTAATGACCTGGGGAATAGTTACAGGGGAGAGGAGGGGGGATGAATGAGCCAATTGGAAGCTGGGGATGATTAGGTGGCCATGATGATATGAGGGCCAGATTGGGAATTTAGCGTAGGACACCGGGGTTAACACCCCTACTCTTACGATAAGTGCCATGGGACTTTAGTGACTACAGAGAGTCAGGACACCCGCTTAACGTCCCATTCGAAAGACAGCACCATACACAGGGCAATGTCCCCAATCACTGCCCTGGGGCATTGGGATATTTTTTTAGACCAGAGGAAAGAGTGCCTCCTACTAGCCCTCCAACACCACTTCCAGCAGCCTCTGGTCTCCCAATCTGGGACTGACCAGGACCAATCCTGCTTAGTGGGTTGGGTTAAATGCAGAAGACACATTTCAGTTGAATGCATTCAGTTGTACAACTGACTAGGTATCCCCCTTTCCTTTTCCTTTCAGAGGCAAGCCAGCAGTGGGATGCAGGGTGGTATGCTGCTGAGTCCCAAATAGCATCCTATTCCCAACATAGTGCACTACTTTTGACCGGAGCCCTATGGCCTTCCTGCTGTTATGGGCTGCATCCCAAATAGCACCCTATTTTCTACATAGTGCACCATAGGGCTCAGGTCAAAAGTAGTGCACTATGTATAAAATAGGGTGTCAGGGCCTATAATAACAGGAAGGCAGTGCTCAGCCACTCAGTCAGTATGACTCATGGGCCTCCTGATGATTAGAGCTTAATAGAGGAACACACAGAAGTCTGCCTGCTAACAAACTGTTCCTCAGATATACAGACATGATGCACGTTTATACCTGCTGCTAACATGCGTCCTTTGTCCTGATCTTGTCCACATACTGATTGTGCCCACATTTTCAGACATGCGATTACACATGGTATTTTAATGTGTCTATTATCCGTCCACTGTGTCCGCATTGTGACCAGATGTAATGGTCCCACCCTGTATGCACATATTTTGACAGATATTCTTTATTTATTTTAAGACACATATTGATGCCATAAGTCAATGGTGCCACCTGTCAATGATTTTCGACGGTGGGATAATGATGATTTCACTGTCCAGATCTGTCTAAACTTGTAATATATCCAGACACAATGCGTGCCTTACTACATCCGGAGGTGGTCAGTAAGATCTGATCACAATCAGATCACAATGCATCTTTTAATTATCTACACCTGTCCAAAAATGTGGGCACAATCCGAATGTGGACAAGACATGGACAAGGATGCATGTTAGCACCAGGTATAAACAGGGCTAGAGAGACACCTACACAAACACACAGAGATAAAAACAGTGCATGCACGCACTGACACACACGCATGCACACACGCACTGACACACACTGTGGATTCTTCGGTGTCAGGTACAGGTGTGTGTGTGATCTACCTGTCCAGATGAAAGGCGGCAATTTCAGCATTGTGTCTCTCAAAGTCCGAGAAGTAGAAAAAGTCAGGGGGCGTCTCCTGCTCCCGGGTCTGCCTGCAGGGAAAAGGGCAGAGGTCAGGGGTTACAACACTGTTCTCTTAGCCCCTTACAAGAAAACAAGCTCTGGGTAGACGTTGTCCTTAGGCACAGATCTAGGATCAGCTTCCCCTCCCTAAAGCCAAGTCTTAAGGCTTTCTGCTCTTACTGAAAAAACACATGATTTCAAATGTGGAAAATCACTTGATTTCACATGTGGAATTTCACACGTGAAGTGTTCCAAAAACACTTGTGGTTTTTCTGAAAGGGCAATGACGTTCTTGGGATGGTTTTTGTCTAGCTCAAATGTTGTCTCGTGTAGTTTCATGTAGTGGTAGTTGACATTTTGCATCCCTTTTGTATTTTTTTTCCACATGAGATCATGTTTTCACACGTGTAGTTTCATGTTATCACACGTTGCTTTTACATGTTGTCACGTCATCACGTTAACATCACATGAGATCACACGTGAAATTCATGTGGTTTTTCTGTAAGGGTGACCTCAGATCAGTGTCAAGAGGCCAACTTCAGCCAACTCCTATACTGAACAAAGACATACCGCCTGCCACAATACCAAGGCCCTTCTCTGAAGCTCTAACAGAGGTGGAGCCACAATTGAAGCTGTGTGGATCGTATTGTGGCTTCGTGTTTGTGACTGGAGAGACTCAAGGTTAGAGAATCCACTACCGTACTTTACCTATTTCTGGAGTCCCATGATCCTCCCTGCATTCCACCCACATTCTGACTGAAAGCTCTGACTCTGTATAAAAGCAGTTTTGTAAGGCTTAACCCTCTCACAGGGCCCAACAGACAGGAGGAGTTTAGAGGCAACCGATGCACAAAGGAGTCAAAGGCATGGAAGGTGAAGAAATACAAACAGACACATTGGTACCTTTAAATTGTCAACGAGCTGACACAGAAGTTACGTTTTTCAGAACAGACATGATAGCAAGTTGAATTGCAGTTCATAAACTCAGGTACCCATGGCAAAAACATACCACAAGACATACAACATCTAAGTGTAATCAGGGTATTTTGCTGACTAATAGAAGGAATGTAGCTGAGATGGGACTTTTCCATCACTGTAAAATCAATGACATGCCTCATACATGCCTCTGTGGTTTACACAACGCTTTAGAAGAATAAAACACAATACAGAGAAAGTCGTTTCAGGAGAAATGGGTCTGCAACCTCCTCCACATCCATACCTACTTTGCAGCCCTTATCTCATCAGCTGAGGAGAGGTAGTGAGCAGAAGAGAGGAGGGACGTGAGGAGGATTGGAAACAGATTCTTATCTTGGCAAGGCAATGCGCTCTGCTCTCTGTCTTTGTCTATCACTCTTTCTCACCCTCCCTCTCTCTTTCTTCCTCCCTCAAGCACTTCTCTTTGTCTCTCTATTCTCCCTTTCCTCCTCACACACACTCTCCCCACTCATACCTCACCCCCTCTCTCTCCCTTTCTTCCTCACACACACTCTCCCCACTCATACCTCACCCCCCCCCCCTCTCTTCCTTTCTTCCTCACACACACTCTCCCCACTCATACCTCACCCCCTCTCTCTCCCTTTCTTCCTCACACACACTCTCCCCACTCATACCTCACCCCCTCTCTCTCCCTTTCTTCCTCACACACACTCTCCCCACTCATACCTCACCCCCTCTCTCTCTCTCTCTGCAGCCCTCAGCTGTGTGTGATTGTTTTTCCACAGCTGTGAGGCTGACATATGCACCGACCATTAAATAACTCACCAGGAACCCTGGAGCACAA